AAAACTTTTTTATGTTTTAAATTTGATTATTTTTTATTCTAAATTTATTTATTTTCTCATTTATTTATTTTAGTGACAAATAATATACTATAAAAATATTTTACCGACTCAATTATTTATAACAATCGGATCGGATTGACTTATATCCATATTTGATCCATTTAGTTAACGGATTATTGGATTCGGATCTTGATCGGGTTATCGGACTGAGATCCTAAATCCATCTTCCATTAATTTCGTCGGATTCGGATCAAAATCCAATCCATTGACAGCCCTAATTCCAAAGTCGATTGTGATTTCAGTAGAATAGAGAGTTACGCGCGGAGTAATATTTTATACTAAATCCTAAAATAGTATGTTTTAAAGAAAATTTGAAGAAAAGCAAGCTGGCTTGGTAAAATAAGTTATTCAAATTGAGAATTATTTATATACGACTAAAAATGAGTGAGGAATAAGTGTATGATACTTGTAGATATTGCATAAATAAAAAATTATTGTATACTGTTTATAAACATTAGCTAACAATGGACTCAACTTAAAGTTACTTTTTTTTTTCAACTTGCTCTATATTTCAACACATTATACATTAAGCTATGTTTGGCTCATGTTTATAAACACTCAAATAATTTTTTATCTGTACATTTCGAGGGATCTACACGTACTGTTCACTTATCTACCATTTATTTTTATCTATTCGTAATTCAAACCATTTATAAATACTTTTCAAACCTGATGGTTTCAATCCTTGGATTTGAGCCATGAAGAAATTAATGCCTTGATCTCAAATCTTAAATCATTAATAATGATCAGAGATCAAATGAAATAGACATAATTGATTGATTCGTTAAATGCACGTTTCCATTCCACAGGAAATGCAACAACATGAAAACTTAAATTTTAGTGGCTGTCCAATCTCTACTTCTCACAATATATATTCACGTTCCAACCGGAAAGTAACTCGGCTACATTCTTTAAAAATTTATTTATTTTTCTTAATTCATTTTTAATAAAATAATTTTACACGTAAACTCAATTTTTTTCATTTTTTTAACCACACATTTTTCAAAGTCACTACTAAACGAGGCTCAACAAACCCTAATACATTGTAAATAATTGGGTTGCAATCTAAATAAGTTATTTTTTGAATAGAAGCATATATTTCGATAATGCATGTTGGATGGTTGAAGCCATGGAACGACCTTAGAGCTTAGAGAATGAGTTTAGAAAACAATATCACGGGTTCAAACAAATTTGTTATTTGACTGTGTTTAGAAGAGTTATTATTATTTTTTTTATAATTTAAAACTACCTCTAAAATTCATGTTAGAAAAAAAAAGTAATTTAAATATAAAAAATTAATTAGTTTGTCACGAAAAATATATTAATTTTGGTAAATAAACATGTGATGTAATAGGCACAAATCTAGCTTCTTCAAATTTGTTTCATGTAATAGAATATAGAGGTATTCGAGACTTACTCCCATTTTCGGAGTTCAAATGCATTTCGAGTCACATTCAGGTCGAGGACAAGCTTATTATTAGCAATAAGTCAAAAATAATAATTAAACTAAATGAATTCACATGCAAGCATATCCTATGTTGAATTGTCACAATTTATAATTTATACAAAGTAAATAACACCAATAATTAATCACAGAGAAAAACCCTTCGCAAATAATCAAAAAAATCCATGCCCAAGTCAGTTAAATCCACTGATAGACAAATTGACTTACAGTACGATCAATACTCGACTAACTCCTAGTACTTTTCGACCCACTTTCTGTAATCACCAAGATCCTCCTGAACTGCGTATTCCTGTATGGGCTCTCGACTTTTTGAAATAGTCCATCTCATGTAAATCNATGAGAAATTAATGGGTGCCAAATGAGAATGAGAATGGGAATAAGTTATTTTTTGAATAGAAGTATATATTTCGATAATGCATGTTGGATGGTTGAAGCCATGGAACGACCTTAGAGCTTAGAGAATGAGTTTAGAAAACAATATCACGGGTTCAACAAATATGTTATTTGACTGTGTTTAGAAGAGTTATTATTATTTTTTTATAATTTAGAACTACCTTTAAAATTCATGTTAGAAAAAAAAGTAATTTAAATATAAAAAATTAATTAGTTTGTCACGAAAAATATATTAATTTTGGTAAATAAACATGTGATGTAATAGGCACAAACCTAGCTTCTTCAAATTTGTTTCATGTAATAGAATATAGAGGTATTCGAGACTTACTCCCATTTTCGGAGGTCAAATGCATTTCGAGTCACATTCAGGTCGAGGACAAGCTTATTATTAGCAATAAGTCAAAAATAATAATTAATCTAAATGAATTCACATGCAAGCATATCCTATGTTGAATTGTCACAATTTATAATTTATACAAAGTAAATAACACCAATAATTAATCACAAAGAAAAACCCTTCGCAAATAATCAAAAAAATCCATGCCCAAGTCAGTTAAATCCACTGACAGACAAATTGACTTACAGTACGATCAATACTCGACTAACTCCTAGTACTTTTCGACCCACTTTCTGTAATCACCAAGATCCTCCTGAACTGCGTATTCCTGTATGGGCTCTCGACTTTCTGAAATAGTCCATCTCATGTAAATC